AGCCTTACTGTGTCTTAGTGCCAGGCTAGTTGTCTGTGGAAGTCCTATAGAGTGAGAGAAGGGAAAGAAACCGCAACTCCTTGTCTTCCTCTCTACTAACCAGACCCAGGACAGTCACTGAGCTCAAACGCCAGTTTCCTCATTGGCCAGTTTCCTCATCGTTATAAAGCTTGAGATAATTAGACCTGTCCTGCCCACCTTAGAAAGCTATTCATAAGGACTAGCTAAACAAAGGGCTAATCCGGCCACAAAGAGACCACACAATATTCTGTGCAGTTATGTACACCAGATATGAGAGTAAAATGCAGCCAAGGAAGATTCTGAGTGACTCAGATAAGGCAGCAGCAGTCTGAGAGTCAAAACACAAAGATTCTTAACTCATACCAAAAACTTAGGCCAGTTTACACAGTCATCAAAAGTCCATGACGACAGCCATTTCTTTGCCAGCTAATCAACACTAGGACCTATTAACCTTTTCAATCTGCCAGATTAAAAATGCTGTCTTCTTGACTTCCTCTTCTTTCCACCCCTCTGATCAATTCTTTAATTTGAATTGCCAATCATTAATGACAATGAACATACTTCCATTTCTATTTTCTTACTGAAATTGTACATCTCTATTGCCCAGTTTGGAATCCTTTTCTTATTGACTTGTAGGATATGGAATAATTATGAACATTATCCCTTTGGCTGTTTACTTTTTTTTTTTTTTTTTTTGCAAATATGTTCTCCTAGTTTGCCATTTGCATTTCAACTTTGTCACTTAATATAAGAAGTTTTATTTTCTTATAAGATTTACCTGTAAATCTTTTTATTTAGAAATTTTGGATTTCCTACTAGGTTTGGAACTGCATCCTGAATATAAATCCAAAATTTCATATTTATAGATATCAAACATTTATGGTCAAGCAATGGTATCTTTCTGAAATAAGCCATTCTAGTAGAGTCTCATTTAATGAATCTCACTATACTATCCAGTTTGAGAAAGGATGGCTGCTTTCATTACGGCACTGCTTAGTTATAGACAAAAAAGTAAATCAAGAAATCACTGTAAGAATTTGTAACTTTTCTCCACTTAGCCAGCAACTAATTAAGTTAATCTGGGGGAGGCAAAACATATTCTTTATATGGTAAGTATATCTAAATACATGTTGAATAAGTATAACATTACATAAACTTATTTAAATTTGATATATTGTTCAAAATTATAGCCTTATGATTTGAGGATATTTTAAGAACTGAATGCATACACATACCTTTTAGAATTAGATTCCAACTCATGATGTGATCAAATTCCCATTCCTAGAGTTGGGCATGGACGCCTGTAATCCCAGCTACTCGGGGGACTGAGGCAGGAGGACTGCTTGAGGCTAGGAATTAGAGACCAGCCTGGGCAAAAAATGAGACTCCATCTTTTAAGGAAAAAGATAAATTCCCATTCCTAGACCTTATCCCAGTCCAAGTCAAGCCAGAGGCAAATACAGAAGTAAACTGACAAAATATCAAATCTGAGCAACCATTTCCATGGGTATCAGGTAGGAATATTCTGAAGTAGACCTGTATCCTTGTGTCTTAAGCATGGTGGCATCCAGAATTGGGATAAAATGAAAGAGATGTCATGAAGAAAGAGCTGAAAGCATTTTCAACAGTCTAATAAGACATGTTAATATGTAAATAACCATCTCAAAACTATCCTGTAAGCTGTCTGGGAACGAGAACCACATATTCACATTGAATCTGCACCACCATTAGCATAGTCAGCAAACCAAATTCCCGTAAAATTTGTCCAGCTGTGGTTTTGTTACAGAGGGAGATAAACCTTGGGGGAATTAACTCAATCAGGGGACCATCTGAATTATTCTCCAGACATTCCTATTTGTCACTGCTCCTCTCAGAGTGTGGTGCTCCAAACTGGATCCCATACTCCCCATATGTTAGCTAACCAGGCAAGACTACCTTTCCATATATTTCATAAATGTGATCTTAAATTACGTTTAGTTTTAACAGTCACACCACACAGCTAAAACGCTTTCTACTGAGCAATTTAATTGATCCAAGTCTTTCGTACACGTTGCACAGGAAGCCCCACCTTCATCCATTGTATACTACTGCAGAGGTCCCCAACCCCTGGACTGCGGACTGGTACGGGTCCAGTGGACTGCTAGTAACAGCAGAAGGTGAGCAGTGGGCAAGACAGCATTACTGCCTGAGCTCTGCCTACTGTCAGATCAGCAGCAGCATTGGATCTCATAGGAGTGTGAACCCTATTGTGAACTGCGCATTTGAGGGATCTAGGTTGTCTGCACCTTATGAGAACCTAATGCCTGATGATCTGAGGTGGCACAGTTTTATCCCGAAACCATCCCCCACCCTGCACACCCCACCAGCCCTAGTCCATGGAAAAACTGTCTTCCACGAAACTGTCCCTCGTGCCAAAAAGGTTGGGGTCCGCTGTATTACTGCATTTTGGGACATGCCAGCAGGATTGAACAATTATTCCTATTTAATTCCTTCTGATTTAGACTCAGTATGTAGTATGGCATTTAAATTTTTTTTCCTGGATCTTAATGCTGTTATCCAGTATACATTAGCTTCCCCTACCAGATTCCTGTCAACCACAAATCTGATTAGCAAGTCGCACAAGTTTTCCTTTACTTCCTATTAAAAGTATGAATAGGTCAGGGAAGACAGTACTGGAGTTTTCCAATAAAGCTTCTCATCAATCTGTATGTTGTGTACAGTCATTAAATAACCACAAGGCCACCAGGCCACCTAACTGCATTATAGTATCACTGGTGGCATATAGACTTCTTTGACCTCATGACCCATGATGTACATACATTCATACAAAGAAAACAAGAGCCACTAAATAGCACTTATACTTACTATGTAAAATTATACTGACATTCTTTATTCTATTTTGTTCTATCCTAGCTCCCTACTCCTTCCCTTCCTTGTAAATGCTAGTCATAACCCACTAAGGTGATTTTATAACTCACTGATGAGATTGAATCTGCAGTTAGTAGAAGATTTAAAATCAATTTGAATAGCTCTTTTGTACTAATGATAGCAATCATATTCACAATGCTTAACTTCTCAAATTATGGCAAAGCACAAAGACTTTATCATGATTTAAGACATCAAATTAGAGGCTGGATGTGGGGGCTCATACCTGTAATCCCAGCATTTTGGGAGGCCAAGTTGGGCAGATCACCTGAGGTCGGGAGTTCAAGACCAGCCTGACCAACATGCAAACCCCGTCTCTACTAAAAATACAAAGTGAGCTGGGTGTAGTGGCGCATGCCTGTAATCCCAGCTACTCGGGAGGCTGAGGCAGGAGAATTGCTTGAACCTGGGAGGTAGAGGTTGTGGTGAGCAGAGATCGCGCTGTTCCATTCCAGCCTGGGCAACAGAGCTAAACTCCATCTCAAAAAAAAAAAGACTTCAAATTATAGTTTCATATTACAAAGCATTATTTAGAAACATCTGTAATACATGACTGATTTCTATGAATATGTTAGTCTTTTATCAATATAAATCTGCCATCTTTAGTTTTACTTACAATGATTTAGTCACAGATACCCTAAGAAATTAAGAGTTACATTATCATATTTTTAGAACTAGTTTCAGAAAATGGGAACTTTAGCTATTTCTAGACAAATAAGTACTGTATTTTAAAATACAAAAGGTTAATCAATGTCTACATTTTTAAAATATCTATTTTCCTTCTGGTTAAATTTACTCTCACTTGGCTGTATAAACACAGTCCATATGATCACAGGCAAACATCACAGCCTCACCCACGTTTCGGTAAATAAGAAAAGTAAATAGCGAATCCTGCTCTTTTATAAAGATAACTCCTTTAAAAGAATACCTAAACAAATGAGAAAACTTGAAAGTTCAAGTATGGGGAAAAGGCCTTCCATAAAATTACTTTTGTGTCAAAGAATTAAGGAAGATTAGAAATGCTATGGTTCTAAAAAGTCATACCTGAGAGTGGTGAAATGGTTTTTAGTTTTTCCTTTTAGTCATTCCAATGAATAACTATTTTGAAAAAAAGTTTTATTTGCAAAATTTATAACCTTAAACTTATTTCTACAGCATCAGATATAAACCTGGAAAATCACTCTCCTTCAAGGTCTAAGCATTGCTATTTCTGTTCTGGCCAAATGCCCACAAAAACACAAACATGCCACAAAACCAGCCTGAGCTGAACCACCATAGTAGGAGATTGGAAGGTTTCTTTTTAAACTGCTCAAAGGCTGCCGTATGGTGGTATTTAGTGTAAACAGACTTTTTCCAGCAGCAGCATTTAGAATCACAGAATGCACAAGTACACAGCCCTGTAGAGGATCACATAGAACATTCTACCCAAGGATAATTTCTGTTGAGAATTTTCCTAACCAATCAACATATTCTTTCCACTCCACTCCTCCACATCAACACACTAACTGGCATATGAAGTCTTGATCTCGATGAGATGAGGCTAAACAACACTGAACTTCAGAGCAAGTAACCAAACCTCATTTGCCAACTGACTGGCATGATCAAATATAAAAGTTCTTGCTTGTGTTTTTGGAGGAAAAAAGTTCCCAATCATACAGTCTAAACTCAGCTCATTAACCAAAAGATGAGAACTAAATGGCAGGAATGATAAGTGGTACATACTCGTTAGGTGTTCCAGGACTTAGAATACAGCTGGGGAGAAAGGCACAAATACAGAAGACTGAAATTCATGGAAAATTAATATGCAGAGACAGGGCACTCTGTGCTGAAGGTCCCAGACTTCAGCAGAGACGTTTCTTGAACTGCATTGCGTAGAATGAAAAATTTGGATAAGGGTCAGAAAATGTTTGACTGGAAGACTTTATGCAACAGTCTGAAGTATGATAAGGCAAGAAAAATGACTTTGTAATTTCGTCAAGCTCTGATGGGTAATGAAGTGAAAAGGCAGGCAGAAGGTGAAAAACCCAAGTGCTGTTTACAGAATAACCACATACCTTTTTTATTGCTCAAAGAACATTCCACACTTTATGGAGTGGTGCTTTCCAGGTAAGTGTTGACATCATAATATAGTCAAACTGGAAAACTTGCTTTTTAATCTCAAAGCAGTATCTAAAATGCACAACAAAAGTATCTTATATCCAAAGGAACATAAACATTTAAGTTTTAGTGAGAGGCCTAAAACCACTCAGGAAGAGCTACAATGGATACATTTACTTACATTAAAAACTTATTTTCCTCTACAAAAATGGGATTTCATTTTTCCTTCACTATTTCAGAAGAATATTACTAACATAAGTCAACGTGAGGACTAAACAAAATATTTGTGACAGTGCTCTGTAACCTCTAACAGACAGAGATGATCATTTCCGTGCAGGCCTCAAAAATCTATCCTCTGGATTTTTCTCTCCCCCTAAATGCTGGGGTCATTGTTAACCATGTTGCCAATCTCTCAGACTCATAGTGGCTTGAAAATGAAGTTATATTGTTTAAAATTAGATGTTCTGCAGGTGTCCTAAGAGGGTAGTGGGGAGATAGGGTGAACTTGTTCCATAACAGTGGGAGAACAGTGATCCAGGCACTGAAGTCTTGTCAAACTAAAATGACAGTAGCCATGATTCTGACAGTGGCTTTTAAGCCTTATTCTAAGATCTGGAGCAGGTGAGGGTCTATCTCCTCTTCAGCCCAAACACCTCACTCTTATCAGTTTTATATATTGGGTTTCAGTGTCATCAATTTAAAAAATTTTTTCTAAAAATTACTTTAAAACAGTGTCTATTAAAAATGTCTGCATGTTGGGCGCATAACCAGTTTCTAAGGAAAACACTAACCTGGCCTCCAAGTCAACTTACGTAACTAGATTTGAAATCAAGTCCTGGTTAAGTTTTGAAAGGCAGATACTAGTGTTGGTTGTTATTAGAGCCAACTGTTAAAGCCAGAGCAGCTACCAGACACTAACCTTGGACCTCTCTGGTACTCAATTTTAATTAAAAGGTAGGCAGCATGAATAATTATAGAGGGCCACTTCCACAGCTCCAGAGCATCAGAAAAATGATTTAATTAAACTGCACTCTGGCCTAATACTATGTCTTTTATGTCTTGTACTAATATATCTTAAACTTGAACTCAGGTACTTCATTTTTACAGACACTGTTGAGATTTGAGCAATGTCAAATTACTGAGATTTTTTTGACTCCCCTCCTTCCCTCCTCCTGACTGAGATTTGAGAAGTATATTAAGGACCCAGAGCTCGCATTAATAAAGGATCCACAGGGTCTCAATTACAGAAAATTACGCTTCTCCTAAGTGGTTGGCTTTCTTTTTACCTCATAAACTGTCTTGGATTTGCTCGCTCTTTCTTTGTTCTGGCTACTCAAACTCAAAGCCAGATGTGTAGGCTTCATCCAGCTAGTGTAAAAGACAGGCATTTGATACTAACCTTGCCCTGAGAGTAATTTCGTCTCTCTTTACTTTTCCATTGCTTTTTATCTAATTCCTTGGGGTGAAGTGGAAGATGAGACAGAACGGGAGAAAAAAAAAAAAAGAAAAAACGAGAGAAGGAAACATGTCCCTAATTTTCTCCATTTCCCTAAAATGGCAGGCAAAGAACATGAAAAAGTCTAATTTTAGCATGAGGGTGTAGCTTTTAACCTTACCACCACAATAAATTTGTTAAATACTGTTAAGATCTAGCATGTCAATATTCTCACTGTGGTAGAAATAGGTAACAACGTGACAGGGACATCCTGTCTGGGAAGAGATTACTACATTAAGTCAAACAGAGAAAATGTGTTAAAGCCATCAATATGTACAATGTGCAGCAAAAAAGGAAACTTACAACATTTTTCTTGAGAGTCAAATACGTTCTATCCATGAGTAACAGCAAACCAGCCCACTCGAACGTGAGAGATGGTCGGCATAACTCTTCCATCTCTGGAAGAGCCCCTATGCAGTCTGTAGTAACTGCTTAGTTCCTGTTGTTCTCCTTTCTGGTAAGTAAAGATGAATAAAAACACTTCCAAGTTTCTTCAACATACTTTTCAAGCCCCTATTACATGCAAGCCATTATAGATATTAAAGTCTAAATGGTCTTTATAGAAAAATATTTTTTTTGTTGTTGGGCATGGTAGCTCATGCCTATAATCTCAGCACTTTGGGAGGCTGAGGCAGGTGGACTGGTTGAGCACAGGAGTTCAAGACCAGCCTGGGCACCACAGTGAGACCTGGTCTCTACAAAAAAGTTTAAAAATTAGCTGAGTGTGGTGGTGCGCACCTAGGGTTCCAATTACTTGGGAGCCTGGGGTAGGGGGACTGCTTCAGCTGGCAAGGTCAAGGCTGCAGTGAGCCATGACTGTACCACTGCACTCCAGCCTGGGTGACAGAAGGAGACTCTGTTCCCCCCACAACCCCCCCAAAAAATTAATTTTTAACCAGGTATACAAACCATTCATAAATTAAAATAATGGCTGAGCTGGGAGCGGTGGCTCATGCCTATAATCCCAGCACTTGGGGAGGCCGAGGCGGGCGGATCACTTGAGGCCAGGAGTTGAAGACCAGCCTGGCGAACATGGTGAAACCCCATCTCTACTAAAAATACAAAAATTAGCCAGGCGTGGTGGCGCATGCCTGTAATCCCAGCTGCTCAGGAAGCTGAGGCAGGGGAACTGCTTGAACCCGGGAGGCAGAGGTTGCAGTGAGCCGAGATTGCACTACTGCACTCCAGCCTGGGTGACACAGCAACAACTCTCTCTCAAAAATAAAAAAATAAATAAAATAATGGCTGAGCTCTACCTGTAAACTGCAATTCCACATTCTACTCCAAAAACTCTACGGAAATTAAGGAAAACAACAAGGATTCGAAGGGTATCAGGGTAGGTGACCAGCAAAGAGCACAATGTAAATGGAAAACAGGCCGATGAGATAAACCAAATGCTACCCAATCAACAAGTATTGGTCACTTGATGCTTTCCTATGACTCAACAGAAAACACAACCCCACCACCGTTGCCAAATATTGGTGGTTTAGACCAGAAGACTAATAATGCAGAAGAGTGTTCCACCTGGGTGGGGCACATGTTCCATTTCCTCCCTCCGCAGTTGAGTGAATATAAGTGCAGTGGCTCCTCAGTCAGGGTGGAATGCCTCTGGGATCCTGTGGGCCAGCCCTTTTAGACTCCCTCAGGCCTTCATGATACCTGCGGCCAAAAGCCCTAAAACAGGGCCTACCTTTAAGACTAACGAGAGATAAAGGGCAAAATAACAGGAATGAAGATGTGGTCTGGGTCAAATAACCAAGAAGTCTACGGAATTTGATTCTGGATGCCTAATGGGAGGGGAAGACGACAGACTCCACCAATCCTCGGAAAGGTCACAGGGTCATTCTATATCACCCCCAGCACCATTTATTTCTGGCAACTCGCCCACTCACACATACCACTCACATAGCTCCAGTGGGTGGTACTAAGGCCTTACATGACCACACCCCTGCTGGCCTCAACCTAACCGAGAGGTTAGGGAGGGGCAAGCTAGACACTGAACAGGAAGTCAGTCTATCCAAGGGCTGAAGTTCCATGATACATACTTAAGAAATGCAGGTGGCCAGATTTTCTATCAGGTGGAAAAATCTAGTCTGCACAGAGATCATGGGGCGAATAAGCAAGGAAATGCAGTAGGAAATGGACAGTCTTAAAGGTGCCTGTATTCTTGGTTCCAGCTTTTGAGACCCAGACGCACCTCCTTCCTTTTCCCCAAAATAAAATTTTACTAAATCCCTGTTTTGTTGGAAGAAACATGAGAGTTCCAATTAATACAAAGGGCTACCTCTGAGGGCAGGGGTCAGATCTTTCTTCTCTTCACCTTTTAGAGGGCCAAACTGGCTTAGTGCAGGCTGAGAGTGGCACTGTCTTTTATTCTTCCATATACTCTGCATATCTACTTTTGGGGATGGAGATCTGAAATGTGTCATTAACAGGGGAAGAAACAAAGAAAAAATTAAAGTGTAAAAACAGTATGTCTTATTTTCACAAATTGAGAATAAAGTTCAAGATTATACAAGCAAATGCAAATTAAATGTAATTTTTTCCCCTGGCCATCCTAAACTCAACTCCCAAAACGATCTTGTGAAACTCCTGGTATTTCCCTTGGAAACATTTGCTCTAAAACTTGGAAGGGATATGGAAAATAAAGAATTAAACATTATATAAATATGTAAGTATAGGAATACTGCCACACTGTCTCCTTAAACAGTCCTTTTTTAGAGTTATAAGGCATCCAGTAACGACCATTTAAAATCTGCAACTCCCTAATTTCTCTTTCAGTAGTTCCTGAGAAGCTACTTATGGGAGAGTGAAGGAAGAGAGAATTTGGGCAAAAACAGTGTTTACATTCAGAGTCTCCTTTCAAGCAAAGTCAAATACTTTAGAGCCAGAAGTGCTAACAGCATACAGCTCTCATTGAGAAAGAAGAAAAGTCAAGGCAATCTACTGAAACCCCTTTTAGTTTCAAAGAAGGAATACTACAGCTCCAGAAGCAACACCTGAGAATCAAACTACCTTGTGGGTACGTCAGGGGGACACCCTAGGACCTGATACAATAGTCTTGCATCCTTAACAGCAAAAAAATGAGAGGCGGCGGTCAAGAAACAGCTAGTCTTGCAACTGCTGAATGGTAAGATGACAATTTATCATCCAAACCAGGGCAAACTGGAGAATGAAGCGGGGCACAATGAATAAATACATCAGGACAATAGGCATAAACGTGTGCTGTCTGGGAAGTCAGGACATTTGTTCACCCCTACTAATCTGTGACTATTTTGATTCCCTATGACTAGCCAACTTTCCTGCACATGTCCATTTCTCAATCTAGCAAAGACAGAGAACCCTCCACTTACAGTAGGGTGCAGCAAAGTAACCTGCACATAAATATTTGTTAGTCCTGGTTGAAAAAAATTCCATTATTTAAAATTCTCTTTAATTGTCAGTGATGACGTAAAGAAGTCTCTCTTGGCAGTTTTTAATACCTCAAATCAGTAAGTATCTATAATTCTCGAGATTTATTGGGAACTCTGCCTATGTCACGAAATAAATAACTTTTCAACTTCCCACTAACCACACTGACCCAGGCCAGGTGGGCAACTAGTTGCCATTTCTCCTACAGGCACATACTTCATCATCATCATCATGCATCCCATCCTGCTCTCACTGCTGAATAATCAGAACAGGCTGATCTAACTGGTCTCATTCCCCCAGCAGCCAGCATCTCAACATGAGTTTTTTTTTTTTTTCTCCCCACTGAACCTTTGAGCGATTTTACCCTGATTTATGCACCCCTGTATTTGAAAATCAACAATAAATGCATTTACATGTATACATGCCCCTAGACAGCAAGGGCCATCTTCATGTACTCCTCACAAGGTGAGATACAACTGAAAATCAACAGAGATTATGTTTGTATGCACACATTAGTTTTAAAAAAATCTGAGGTAGAAGATGTTTCCTAAAACCTAAGTAAGTGGTCTTAAAATTGACTGATAAACCTGAAACTGAGTTCTCCTGTTAAGAGATAATTTCGGCCAGGCACAGTGGCTCACGCCTGTAATTCCAGCACTTTGGGAGGTCGAGGTGGGTGGATCATGAGGTCAGGAGATCGAGACCATCGTGGCTAATACAGTGAAACCCTGTCTCTACTAAAAAATACAATAAATTAGCCAGGTGTGGTCCCAGCTACCTGGGACCTGAGGCTGAGGCAGAAGAATGGTATGAACCTGGAAGGCGGAGTTTGCAGTGAGCCGAGACAGCCCCACTGCACTCCAGCCTGGGCGACAGCAAGACTCTGTCTCAAAAAAAAAGAGGTAATTTCACCAAGCTCTCAGCTCTGTCTCCTTTGACCACTCACTAAGACAGTCTCAGACCTAATTCCACTTTCTGTAGATTTAGGATACTCCATTAAATGGGGTGTACCAATAAAATCAGTGCAGGATGAACTGGAAGGCTCTAACTTGCTGGAACATTTTTAACAACACAAAGTTCGAAAAAGCTAACTATTTTCTTCTCCACTCAATAGCTAAAATAGCTAGATATTTTAAATATTGGCTTTATTGAGATAAAATTCATACACCATACAATTTACCTATTTAAAGCATACAATTCAGCTGGGCATGGTGGCTCACATCATAATCCCAGCACTTTGGGAGGCCTAAGCAGGAGAATTGCCTGAGACCCGTTCAAGACTAGGCTGGGCAACATAGCAAGACCCTGTCTCTACAAGAAATTTAAAAATTAGGTGTGGAGGTGCTCGTCTGTAGTCCTAGCTACTTGAGAGGCTGAGGAGAGACGATTACTTGAGCCCTGAAGTTTGAGGCTACAGTGAGCTATGATCACATTACTGTACTCACAGCCTCGGTACAGAGTGAGACTTTGTCGCAAAAAAAGTATTTTGAAGCATAAAATCCAATAGTTTTCAGTATATTCAGAGTTAAGCAACCACCACCACCATCATCATCAATAAAACAGCTAGATTTTTTAAGACACTGAAGATCACTTGTAGTAAGAATGAAAAAGGAATTTCATTTTTTCCTGGTTTATTTACATGAGTATCTTAACAATCTGGCTATATCCTGGACCAAACTCTTGCCCAGAAAGGCCCTACCAGCAGTATATGAGATCATCTTGCCTTATGCATCTCAATGCAACCCTATTTGCATTAAGCATTACTACTTGTTAAAATCTCTAACAGCACCGCCCATTGTTTTATTTACATTTACTTTATTTAGCCACTATCTGATCTGGCTGTTCACTTGTCCAGTGTTTTAGCTTTTAACTTACTTGAAAGGCAGCATGCTTTAAGGATTAAGACCATCTCTTATCAGACCCCAGTTTAAATCCCAGCTCTGCTGTTTAGTAGCGGTGTGAACCAAAATCTGGGGATAAAACACTG